ACCCGGTTTCTCGCGTTGTAAGGCCGCAAACATACCACTATGCCACTGGGGGGGGGGACATCTTGCTTTAAAAAACAAACATGGTTTCCTGTTAAACAAATCTGAAACGGTCAATGTATAAAGTTTTGAGCAATTATACTGGCCCATAAGGGACATTTTCAAATGTTTTAACCGAAGAAATATAAAATTAATTCATAGGTCTACAATTATCTTTTATAATAAACTAGTATAAAAATGACGGGAAACCTAAACCTACCACATTTGAATCCTCCAATACGTATTTGCAACTTTGCCACCCGTAAACAGACATAAGAAAAAGAAAGGGCCTTACTTCGAGAGAAACAAAGCCTATCATAAAGAATATCTACTTTACCTAAAGAGTGCCCCCCCCCCTCAGTGGCACAGCGGTATGTCTGCGGACTTACAACGCTAGAAACCGGGTTTCGATACCCGTGGTGGGCAAAGCACAGATAGCCCGTTGTGTAGCTTTGTGCTTAATTATAAACAAACAAAACTAAAAAGTGTCTCTTTCCAGCATCAATCCTTGTTCCAGCATTCATTGATCACGGTTATTTTCTAATCACATCAATTGTATTATTGCAATAGTTCTCTCAAAACCACATTTCTTGTAAGTACTCAATCATCGTTCAAAACTCTCTCTTCATAACAAATGGTAAATTAATTTCATTTTGTGCTAAATAAATCCTTGGTATAAAAAAACTCGCTCCTTGACAGGTTTTATTTAGCAAAAAAATTCCGAAATTTAGGAGCTACTTACGCCTATGTTACGGATTGAATTCATTTGCAATGGGAACGGGCAATCAAAATAAGAAATATTATTTCATATTATAAAAGTGGAATTGGACTCGTGTTACTCATTAAATTCGGAAAAAATCGAGCATGACCGACTGCTCGACGCTTGACTTCACGATTATGATAGCATTTTTGTGGACATGAAAGCTTTTGAAAACTGTAATATATTAGTGCAGAAGTGACACGAAATAAGTTACTGATCTAGGCTAAGCTAATAGAAATGCACAATATAACTCTTTCTGTCTTTGATTATTAAATTAGTAATTTTTTTCCCGCTATCTAACACTTTCTACAGCATAACTCTATAAGCACAGTTAGTTAACGCTATTTTTCAGTTGTTTCCTCATATTGTGGATGATTACTGACTCTCTCTCTCCAATATTGACATAAAAAATACGTAAGATCATGCCTGTACACAGAATGTTTGAAAGGGGGTTCTAATTTGTGAGATCAAAAGCCAACACATATTTTGCTAAGCCCAATCAGCATGTAAAGCATGCTAATGCTACGGGGGTCTGGAGACATTCCCCCAGAAAATTTGTAAAAAATAAGTGCTACGAGATTAAACCTGGAAACAATTTTGCATGAAATATAGCTTAAACAATTACATGGCTGTTTACATAAAATCCAC